ACAGCATTTCCAGCTGGATCCAGCAGGGGGCCAGAGCCCTCATGTTATAAACATCTTCAGCCTATGCAAGAGGAGGGTGTGGAGATGGTGTGAGCGCTATACCTGCCCTAAGGCAGTAGCCTGCGTACAACTGTAGAGGAGGGAAGGAGGTGTGCTCCTCCTCTTTGTTCTTGTTGCTTTAGCTGTTTCCACTGCCATCATGAACTACTGCCCCTCTGCCAAGCCAACCTGCTTTGGAGCCAGCTGATTATGCACTAAAACCTCTACAAACTGTGAGCTAAATCAACCTTTCCTTTACTTTTGGGTGTTCTGAATGTTTTGCCTGATCAATTAAAGAAAAGTAACGAAGACAGCCCTCAACACTGTGTGAGACTTCCAGAGGCAGAGGGCCTTGGGGGTAGTTGGCACCAGTTGTAAGAATAGTAAGAGTGGCATTGCCAATATCAAAGAATTCTAGGGGGCTGCATGAGGAGGATCTCTTAACCTTTACCTCATTTTTTTTTTTCCATTTGAACTCTAATGCTTAAGTAAAGATTCAAGGAGGTGAGGGCGATCTGGCTGTGACATCTGTCACCCCATTGATCACCAGGGTTGATTTGGTTCATTTGGCTGGCTAGGCAGGTGTTCCCTTCCTCCTTCAATGCTTCATGTGTGTCCCTCCTGAATCTGTGGGCTTGGATGAAGAGGACAAATAGAAGAGGACTTTTTCCTCAGTCAAGAGTATATGAGTAAAATGATGGAACTTAACAAAAAAAGGGGGATACAGATGAATGTCCATTTTGTATCTGTGTATTCAAAGTGGTTAGGATAGATATATAGTTACATTCTCTTAGTGAGTAGAGGGATTTGTTCTAATGGTGTTTGTAAATAGGATATAAAGTCCGCATCTTGTACAGCAATTAACCACTAGGAAGAATGCATGCAATGTGTTGATTGTTGAAACTGTCCTACCAATTTGGTTTGAAACTGTCTCAATGCTCTTTGTTTCTCAATAAAATTATGGGAAAAAAGAGAGTATATGAGTAGCTGTGCTCCCCTGCTAGAACCTCCAGACAAGCTATCAAGAAAAGATTAGAATGAGGATGAAGAAATAGTAAAAACGAAATAGAAGATTTGAGTATCGTAAAGTTGGCTGAAGAAGTGACTAGTTAATTACAAAGATCCTGGAACACATTCACAGAATGGTTCCCAAAGTCCTGCATGTGGACTTTTGGTGAGAATTTGAGCAATCTTTCTGCAGGACAGCCTAGACTTGCCATCAGCTTGAGGTGTGGGATGCCAGCATCGCCTCTCAGGACCTGTATATGGAATTTCTCTCAGATTTCTTAGGGATGTAGACAACAGAGAAGGACATAGATGCCATGAGGAGACTGTTGTCCTCACTTTCCTCACCATAGCCTGCCTTGCTTTCTCCAGGGGCATGTGTGTGAATGAACTTTGCCATTGTTTTTTGCTCCATTTGTCCAATTCTTTGTTTGAGATGAAAAGAATCCAAAATCTAACTCCAGAGGGAGAGAAGAGCAATCCAGAAAAGTATCTGAGTATGGTAAAGCTTAATCAGTATGGTAGAGTTTAGTCAGTGAGCCATTTTCAGAAGCAACTGTCTGGTAACAAAAAAGCCCTTGAGCTAAAGAGACATGATATGTTATAGAAACCAGAATGATTTTAGTGTACCAGAGGACAGAAGTCATTTGAGAGAATGAAGCCTGGTCAGGAAGGGTCTTTTGAGTTCTAGTAAGGTTAAGTGTTATCCCAGGAGCAACCTTCTGAAGTTCTCTAAGCAACAGCTCAATCTCCCAAACAAATACTCTCAAATCTGAGCTTTATCAGATTTGGGCAAACTATAATCACATACTTATGTGCTTCCTGGGCTCAGAATCTGCATAGGCGTGGTCTATTCCCTTTATCACAGCACTTAGCATTCGGCCTGCATGAAGTCCAGAGAGTCACTTTCTGTGGAAAAAATGAGTAGACGCTCATCTTTCCTCACCTTTTGACTACCTAGGTATCTGACTTTGGCTTCTTGCTGATATCGAATCTTTGGGGTCCCAGATTCTTGACAAATCAAACTGAAGTTCCACACTTGCACTCCAGGATCACTTATTAATCCTGGCTATTTGTTCATATTTCTCGCTTTAGAGCTAACTATGTTGCAGTTTCTCTAGTTTTTCAATTAGAGCAAAGTAATAGGATCTTATCTCCAGTGTGCTATTCTGGCTTTTAAATGTTCTAAACCTCAAGAGAATGATTATGTTCTTTTAAATATAATTTGAATATAAGATGTTAATATTAGCATTGAGGTTATAATCATATGCTACTATTTTACAAGTGATTTTATAAGTTTTCTAAAAGGTCTGGAGTGTCATGCATTGATGTCTTGAATTTATGTGGAAAGTGTCACCTAAAAAGGTATCTAAGATAATTCTAGAGATCAATAATATTTGCTGTAGAAAAAGAAAGTTCTGGGCCGGTGAGATAGTTCAGCAGTCTAAAGCACCTGCTTAGGCAAGTTTATACAAGTGCAGGAGACCTCTGTTTGATGCCTAGCACCACGTACTGTGCCAGTCCCACTTTCAGGGCAGGGCTGAGCCAGCCAAACCAAACAAAACAAAACCCATAAAAAACCACCTCCAAATGAGCTGCCTCATGGTATATAACACTGTTAGCTATGGTACAAGATACACACTGATAACTCAATTCACATACCATATAGAGATGTCTACTTTGTAAAAGAATAGGGTGCACTCACTTGGACAGCATGAGTGCTTCAGTCTGTTCAGACTACTATAACAAAACACCCTGGACAGGGAATCCTAGAAACAACAAAAATGGGAGTGTTGCAGGACTGTCCTGCTACAATGCTGTATATGGTTAGATTTCTAAACTTCTGTGTAAACATATATAATTGTTTATTCTTATTTTTTAAAATATATTTTTATTTTTAATTTAGTTTTCATCATATTCTGTAGGGACTTAAAGTTTAGCCTATCAATACTTGATGAAAAATACCTGTTCCATGTTATGCCTAAGATGTTTGATATTCAGACAGATAGTGAGGTTAAGCTCAATAGCTTAGGTTGTATGGTAATAACAATAAGCTTCTCTTCTGGAGGGTTAACAACCTAAGTTTTCAGACTAAAAATTAGAGAAAAAGAAGGGTCATAAGGACAGTCAACATTTTGGCCCTAGCCTTCCAAGGTCAAATAAAACTCAGGACATATGAGAACCTGTACTGTAACGTCATGTAACTCAGTTATGTCTCAAATTTTCTGATCAAGGAGATTATGGGGCCAAAGAGGAAAGTGATCAATGATGTAGAATGTGCCTAAGGAGAGTCACATGGAGAGAAAACATTTTCTCAGGCTTTCACAGAGAGGAAATTGGTCAAGCAATGGCCATGACTCATCCACATGGTTGACACTGACAAAGGATCTACAAACTGAGGTACAGAGTCTCAGGATAAGTCCTGAGGGGATTTCACTGATTTTATTTCATTGATTTTATCAGATACAAAAGCCACAATTCTTGTTACATAGGTCTTGCTTTATCTTGGTCTTAACCATCCAGCAGAAAAGTTTAAAAACGAAGTTTAAGAAGTAAAGCCATGTTATTAATTTGAGCTGTAAGGGACTCAGTTCAATAACTTCTGACATTGCCAGTCATGCAGAAGACCCAATACTATTATGGACTACTGGACTATTTTGGAATATTTTGCTGAGTTCACACACCTATAATATTTAAATGATGGAATTAAACAAAAAAAGGGAATACAGATAAATGACCATTTTGTATCTGTGTATTCAAAATGGTTAGGATAGATATATAGTTACATTCTCTTAATTCAATGAATAGAAGGATTTGTTCTAATAGTGTTTGTAAATAGGATATCATGTCTGTATCTTGTACAACAAATAACCACTAGGAAGACAGTATGCAATGTGTTAATTATTGAAACTGTCCTACCAATTTGATTTGAAACTGTCTCATTGCTATTTTTCTCTCAATAAAATTATGGGGAAAAAAGAAACAACAGAAATGTATTTCTCACAGTTTTGGAAGACAAGTAGAATAAAATCAAAGTGTAGCAGATTTAGTGTCTGGGGAGGGGCCCCTTCCTAGTTCTACACAGCACTTCCTGTTTGTGTCCTCGCATGGTGGGCCTGGGAAGCTCTCTGGGATCTCTTCTACTAGGACCCAATTCCACTCAGGGCTCTTGTGGCCTCATTGCTTTCCAAAGGCTGCATGCTGATCCCTTAAGTTGGGGGTTAGGATTTCAAAATGTGAATTTTGTAGAGACACAAACATTCCGACCATAGCAGTAAATTTCTGGTAATAAAGAATCTTCTCTTTTTGTTGTTGCTAGATTGGGAATTCTAGAATTTAATTATTCTTTAAAAAGAGAGTTTTAAAAACTAGGCAAGATGGTGTACGCCTGTAATTCCAGAACTCTGGGAAGCTTAAGCAGGTTTGCAAGTTTGGGCCCAGTTTGGAGAACCTTGCAACTTTGCGAGACCCTGTGTCAGGAAAAAACAAACAAATAAACAAACGAATACAAGTTTTAAAAAGGGCTGAGAAAAACCAGAAATCTTATGTCTTAAAGGTAACTTTAAAAAACTTTGGGTCTTGCAACATCTTAGAAGAATTTCCGAGAATTCTTTATATGCTATCATAATGCATTTCATGAAAGATGGTTTCCATTATATTAGATGTATTTGCTGTTAGGAGGTGAAACAATGTTCACATGAGTGAGTGAATACTGTGGATAAGAAGTATCCAGGACCACATTTCTACAGCTCAGCTTTGATGCTGATATAAATGGCACTACATTTCTAAAACTGAAGGGTCATGCAAACAAGACAACTTGGAGTTTATAAATGTATTGGGACTTGTGAGGTATCCAAGGAAGACTCTGTTGGATCAAGAAAATTATTCAAGCAAATAGGTTCAAAATGTAGAATGTAAAACCAATCTAAATAAACATGATGTAAATACCTAATTACCTGGAGTGTATCAGTTTTCCAAAATGCATACTATTGAACTTCTTGGTGTGTACAGTTGTCTGAGGCTCATTTGGAGGTACATATGCAAAAAAGATCATTTCATGTGGGGAGATATACTGCAAAGCAAGTGCAGTGTCAAAGCCCATATCAGGAGCCTAGAAGTGGAAAAAAGAAAATATTGCATTTAAATGATTTTAGACTTTAATTATGACAAAATTCAAATAACAGATTTCTTTCCAGTTCACATCAAAATAATACTATTTCTCACAGTCTTTGATTCACAAACTTCCATCAGAGTCAATATAAGCACTTTTGGCCTGGATTTCTGACTTGAAGTCCCCACCCCCACCAGTACTGGGTACTGGGGATTAAATTTAGGTTCTTCCCCTGTTATTTATTAATTTATTTTAAATTAATTAAATTAATTAATTTATTTTGAGACAGGGCCTCACTAAGTTCTAAGTTGCCCACGTTTGCCTGTGATCCTCCTGCCTTGACTTGGCCCACAACTCTTTTCAACATATCCTTCTTCAGTCTTAATCCTGTTCAGTTTTGGGAATTTCTAGGGGTGAGAAAAGTGGGGATCAATCCCAAAGGGGATGATAGAATTGACCTTATTGCAAAGATATGAGAAAAAGGTGGTAGATAGTACAAACTACTTGGAGGAACACTGAGTAGACAGTGCCTCCAAAACTCATTTTTATATTTTCCCCTCAGCCTCTCTATTTTTTGGACCCATGGAAAAGGGAAGAGCTTTGGAAACAGGGCGGGTAAAAGGACAGACCTTGGAGCCTGCTGCCTGGGATACATGCCTGATTCCCTTAACTAAGCAGTTGAGTAATTTTGGGTAATTATTCATCCTTTCTTTTTTTTTTCTTTAAATATTTTTATTTTTATTTTATTTTTTTCTTAATTTTATTGAGAAATAAATAGCAATGAGACAGTTTCAAATCAAATTAGTAAGACAGTTTCAATAATTAAAACATTGCATACATTCTTCCTAGTGGTTAATTGCTGTACAAGATGTGGACATGATATTCTATTTACAAACACCATTAGAACAAATCCCTCTATTCA